CAACTCCAGGGAAATATCCCCACCTGGGGAAACAACCTTTCTCAGGGAGGTGGCCCTGGTTAGAACACATAGCGCTAAGAAGGGGAGCAAACATATTAAGTACAGTATGCCAGGTCCCTTGAAACATATGCTGTGCAGATGTTTCTTCCTTGCAGCAACTGTGTCAAGCAACAAGGATGGACCGGCTTCTGGCAGGTAGTGCTGAGGCCAGGATCCTAGTCTCAAGCAGCTCTGTTTCTCAAGATGGTGTGGTCTCTGTGCCCACGCTGGCTGCCCAGGAGTGTTCGCTCTGGGAGTGGGGCTCCGCCATCTAAGACTGCCCGGTTTGGCAGCCCCTTGGAAGACCTGCAGAATCTAACTGTCCCTAGCTCATACACACACACACCACACACGTCCACACACTTTATTGCTCCCTCGCTCTCTCACACTCCCTCCCTACCTTCCTGCCGGTCGCCATCTTCCTCTCCCCGGTATTTTCCTATTTTCTAAATTTTAAATAAAAATATAGTTAAAGTAGAATTTTTTTTATGCCTCAAAACTGTTAGGATATTTATTAGAATTAAGGTGGTGTTTTCTCTTTAACTCATGACTATAGGACAAAGTATCTTGTATGGATTAAGCCTTCCTTACACTTTAGGAAAACTGTACAGAATGTAGAGAGACCAATTTTAGTCTTGTGATTCTGTTTTAAAGCAGTGAATTTTAATTTCTTCAATGTGGGTGTAAGACTTTATAATAAGGCTGTTCTCTACTTGCTCTCGCCACTACCAGTCCTATTCTCCCTTTATTCTGTAATGATTAAAACTGTAAGTTGTAACAAGGCTAGCTTTTTCTCTAAATAAAATGCTAACCCTCTTAAGTGTCTCAAATATGATGCTACCTCATCACACAAAGGCCTATCCCTTTGCAAATTGCTATTCCTGTGGCTTTAAGTCATTTCAGCTATTACCTCTTACTGTCCTCTAGTCTGTTATTTCTCAAACTTAAATGGTGATAGAAATCCCATGGGGACTTTGTTAAAATATCATTCTGATTCAGAAGAACTCGGGTGGGCCCAAGATTTTCTCTTGTAATAAGCTCACAGGTGTGGCTGATGCTGATGGTCTCTGGACCATATTTTTGGTAACAACAATGTAGACTACTTGGCAAACGTATTGTCTTCAAGAGTATTTCCTCTCACTCCTTCCTACCATCATTATTCCTTTTATTATTTAGGTACATAACTCTCTATTCAATTCCAAATTTTTGCCTAAAGGGACTCTGTCTTTCATCTTTGTATTCCCAAAGCTTACCATAATGTGTAACCAAAAATAAGCTTGCAACAAATGTTTATTGCTGATTAGATGGTGTTATTACAGCCTATTTGTAGTAACTAGTCTAAAATACATACTGAGTATTAAGTGTAGCTCTTAAATTTTGATTATTTTATAGTATAGAGAAAATGAATTGTGAACCTCATTTTTTTTTCCTGTAGACCTTTTTTTGAAGGAAAAAAAGCCTGAAATGTGCCCCAGCTAAAGCTATTTGCTTTAAAATGTTCTTGCCTTTAGTACAAACAAAAATATTTTGAAGTTTCTATAATAACATATAGTGTTTCTCAATATTACTATGTTTGTAGAATAAGATTTTTAGAAAACTGATTGTTTTTGTTTTTTTTTCCCTCCCAAGGAGAAGTACAAATGTCTACCACAAGACGAAAACGTAATATGTTATGTTGTTTACCGTAAGCTGTAGTAAAATGAGCTCGATTATTGACAGGTATGTTGTTAGAAACTTTTATTTTGAATTATATAAAGCCATTTTAAGACTCAGTATTAGAGTAATGGTCTGTATCAAACCTGATAAAAGGAGTTTTTTTGCTTAAATATAATTACTGTTACATTTAATTTCTGTATTTAGGCAGCATAGTGTAATAGTAAGTAAGAGCCAAAGTCAGGTGTTTATGGCTGTGTCTTTGAGCTATAATTTTGAGTATTTGAGTATTTTGTTTAGCTGCTCTGAAAGAAATTGTGACAGTTGCAAATGTTTCCTTGGTATCTTCTGGAATCATCTATTTCTTTATCTCTTGTTCTTTTTCACCTTATTAATTGGTGCTAACTCCATTCCATTAAGCATTTTAGCATTTGTGACTGATAAAAGGTAACTATAATTAGGATTTCATTAGTTGAAATTATAATCTTTATATCTTACTCTTGGGAAAAGGATAAACTTCCTTGTTTCTTTGATTTTAATATTATATTTTTAACATTTTAACATCTTTTTGATATTGGAATTCATCTTACAATTGGCTTATCATAGTTTAATTGGTAGCATTTTTTTTCTTAGTGGCACATAAAATATTGATAAATAGTGAATGGTGCTTAAATTAGATGAAGTACATTAACATTTTTAAAGCAATTTCTCTTTGACAGCTAGCTAATGTGCAGAATACTTTTTATATATTATTTAAATTAACAATTATTTTGTGAGATTTTTCAGGTGAGGAAACTATAGGTTAGAGAGATTAAATAATGTTTTTAAAGTCACATAGTAAGTGATGAGCAGGAATTATGACCTGTGTTGGTCTGTCTGACACTAAAGTTCCTGTGCTTTTATTATACTGTACTGTGTGATTCTTCATATGTGACTTTTGACATCTGGGACAGCCCTTTTCCCTTCCCTTTTTTATGTTCATTGCTGATTAGATGGTGTTATTACAGCCTATTTGTAGTAACTAGTCTAAAATACATACTGAGTATTAAGTGTAGCTCTGGGAAGTGTAGCTCTTAAGTTCTGGGAAGATGTATACTCTCCCAGAACTTAAGACCAAAGAGGCAAGGAGTTTCCTTAGAGAGGGCTGCTTACACCACTGCCATAGATTTGGGCTATGCAGTACTTTCAGGTGGGATCGGTTTGTTGTCTCCCCAGAAAGGATGTTTCTTCACTGCTTGTGAGAGATAAAATATGATTTGGGCATTATACTTCTGAATGATTGCCAATTTCCGTTCTAGACAATATCATATCTAGGGATGACATCTGTGTGTCATCAAGTTACTAAAACATTATCCGTTTAAAAACAAACAAACTTGTCATATATTTTTTGTGTTGAGTTTTTTCTTTCTGCTAGAAAATAGGCGGTAAGAGAGCAGTGACCTATACATCTGGTTAACTGCTCTGTAACCACATTCAGAAGAGAGCCTGGCTTATGAATGTTAATAAATATTTGTCAAATGAATCAGTAATAAGTGAAAATTTATGCTAGATACTGTGCTATGATGCTGGATATTGTGCTAGATATCTTAAAGCAGTGGTTTAAGTTATTATCTAAATATTGTGATGTTTATGAGTTATTTATGATTTTATAAAGTGAATATCTCAGAAAATATGTTTTGTAACTATGCTATTAAATTAAAAATAGTTTCAAGTGAACCCTTTTTTATAATGGCAAATAAATTGACTTTCTGTAGGTTTGCACTGGTTACAAGATATTTTACTTCTGGTTAAATTAAATTCTGGTGTATGTTGAGTGCAGTATAGCTAAGTGTGTAGTTTTAAAATTCACATTTGTAATAAAGTTTTAAAAATGTAATAAAAATGCCTATATTTTAATTTACTGATATTTATTAGAAAACTTGTTAGTAGTTATGGAGTTTAAATTTGTGCAGTCCTTTAACTTATAACTGATTCGATTCACATTCATTTTAGTGTTGCTGTTGCTTAAGGATTGTGCTCTTATTTTTTCTATCCACTTTTTTTTTTTCTTTTAGAGATGATGGTAGTATTTTTGATGGGTTGGTGGAAGAAGATGACAAGGACAAAGCAAAAAGGTAGTTCAACTTAAGATGTAAAATAGTAAATAAATAAATACTAATAGTAAAAATAGTAAATCAGTGATTTTCAAAACCTATCTGCCTTAAGAATTTAGTATTCAATTAGGTGGAAGAGCTTAGAATATCAGAATCCAGTTTATAAGTTAAATAAATTTATCTTCAAAATGTGCTCTTCTCATCAATTCATATTACGGGTGGATAGTATCTCTACATCATCACTGGGGATGTCAACTTTCATCACTTGGCTAAAATAGGGTTTGCCTGGATTCACCATTGTAGTTACTATTTTTCTCTTAACCTACGTTATTCTAGGAAGCAAGTATAGCCCACCTTCAGAGTAGGGATTGGGGAAATTAAGTTCCACCACCACACATACTTGGAATTCTTCTGTAAAATCTTTTTCTTTCCATTTATGTATATCTGTATGGACTCATATTTATTTTATACTTTAGGTTCTACTTCAGTGCTATTTTCTTTTGTTACTCAAATTATTCCAGCTTCAGCCATTGGAAGGTGTCCTTTGACATGCCTCCAGTCTGTAGTAGAAGGGAAAGTAGATGATAGAGAGAGGGAAGGAAGAATTGTTGGAGAAATATCATCAAGTAGTGAGGGAATGGGATCTAAAGCCATGGTGGTTACAGTCAGGGCTTTGACCTTAAATAGGGGTCTTGTCAGTTAATTATAGTATTAGAAGGGAGAGTCCAGGTAGCAGTACAGCCAAGTTGGTAGTTATTGGGGGTGAGCAGTGAGTGCGTAGACAAGAGTAGAGGTGTTGTAGCATTATACACAGATACAAAATATAAACATGTAATAGTTCCCCAAATGTCTTTATTTAGCAAAATAAAAGGTACTGGGATGAGAAAAATATTCATAATAACCACATAAATTGTTAAATACTTTAATGAATGATTAAAATATATCTACAAGAAAATTTTAAGGAAAGCTGTAACTTTATTCAAGGAAATAAAAAGACCTGTATTTGAAGCTGAAAGAATCTAGGACAGTCCCTACCCCTTAACCTCAAACTAGTGGAGAAAAGTTCTTATAGACTCATCAGGATAGAGATAAACTCTCTAAGATGGGAATAATCAGTCTTACCTGAATGAAGAGGCAGAACTTTAAGGAATTGACCTGGACTAAGGGCCAAGTTTATAGATGGATAAGGTGAGCTAAGGGTATTCTATTTGCAAAGACTCTGAAGATTTAATCATGTTTTTTTTTTTTGTAAACCAAAAATATTATTGCTATGGAAACCTTAGAGAAACAGAAGGAATCTTGTAATGATGCTGTCAGAATTAAATAGGACCACATTGAACTCTTAAGTGAAAACAATGATGAGTTAAAGAACAAAGGGAGCTTTATACTTACTCCCCAAATGGAACACCAGTTATCAGTTATCCTGTTATCAGTGAGGTCGTTTCAAGAACTAATTATTTCCAACTTGAATGTAATATGGAAGTAAAGTTTGCTTTAATGGGTGTGATCCAGTGGTAGAGTTGGCAAGAATATTTGCTTTCTCTATATTTTCTTTCCCTGGAGTCAAAATGCCTGATTCGAATTTGTACTTCATGGTAACTATATGATCCTGGTTATGTTTTTCTATGTACCTGAGTTGTCACATCTGTAAAATAGAAAATAATAATCTACCTCGTAGGAATTAAATGAGATTTCATAGATGTTTACTAGCACCTGGCACATAAGTATATAACAAATATTGGCTGCTATTTTTACCCCCTACCCATGTGTTTAGATATTTCATATATACTAATTCTCAGATGCTTATTTCTTACTCCTTTCTAGAGAAATATAACTAGATTCATATATCCAACTACCTCTTGTCTATTTCTTTTAAAATGTCAAATAGGCCATTTCACCATATCTAAATTCTCCCAAAGCCATCTGTTCACCAAAATCAGTATCACATGTTTTATTTCACATTGATAAACAGCATTATCAGTTAAGTTGAGAATCCTCTTAGATTTCCCTTTTTGCTTCTCCACTACAAACCGAATCTGATTTACCAAGAATTGGTAGTTCTGCCTCTTGACCCTCAAAGCTATACTGCTTTGTTAACAGTGCCCCTGTTATGGTTCATAGGTTAGGATATTGCAGTTGCCTCCTAAATGGTAATCTGGCTTTCAGTCTTGTTTGGTGTATGGTAAGTTTTCAGTTGTATTTGCTTAGTGAATTTGTTTCACCAAGCATTGATCCTTTCATCAGTCTGATGCCAGAATAGTCTTATTAAGCAATTTCATTCGTGCCATTTATTTGCTTAAAATCTTTCAATGCCTTCCCATGGCTTTCAGGATTAAATGAAAATCTTTTAATAAAACTTAAATGATTTAAGTAGCATAAAACGTCATGATTTTTTTTTCAGTACTTAATACTCCTACCTTACCCCCTAACTCTAGCATACTTGGACCTATACACTGGTCACATTAGCCACACTGAACTAGTTATGATAGGTTTTCATCTCTTTACAAGTTTCCTATGCCTGGAATGTTCTGCACATACCCCGCTACCATCTCTTTTTCACATAGTCTTCAGGACTCAATTCAGCACAGTTGGGTGCCATCCTTGGTTCCTCTGAGTTTCCATAGGAATTAGGCGAATTTTTAAAATGTTATTAAATTTATTGGGGTGACATTGGTTAATAAAATTATATAGGTTTCAAGTGTACAATCCTATAATACATAGTTTCCAAAGGAATTAGGTGTATTTCTGGGAAGGGATATCTTTCCCCAGTATACCTAGCCCTTATTAGCACAGTCTCTGTCATTTTAGCAACATTCATTGTCAGGTAATATCTATTATGTTTCATAAGAGATTTGAACAATTGAATTTTCCCCCAGTACTAATATAGAAAAAATGCTTGTTCTTTATGGGAAAAAATAAAATAAAGTATCCTCTGACATTTTGGGAAAGTAGTATACTTAAACAAAAACTGAATTCTAAATTGTGACTTCACAAAGCAGATAATTAGAGGTATTGTAGAATGGTTAATTGCTCTACAAATAATTGTACTGTATTTACTTGTCTCAAGAGGTCTCTGTGCAACTAAGTATTTGTTTACTGGTTACTGCTTTACAGAGAATAGTAGTAATTATTCGTTTGTTTAGCACATATATTTTGAGTGCTTTCTGTTTGTTAGGTGTTATTCTTAAGTGCTTAGATGGAAAAATTTGGGCTGTCTTATCAAGGAGCCACAGCCTAACGGAGAGACAGATATGCAAACAAATGATTACAGCTCTGTGTTGGAAGCTGGGATATAGGAATAAAGAAGAAGAATGTGTGTGTGGGTAAGCCTCAGGGTAGGGAGATTTCATTTTTAGATTTGCTTGTAATTTAAAACTTACAGGTGATGGATAAGACGGGAGATGGTTTGGGTGGTGGGCACAGAGAGCAATATACAGATCTTGTATCATAGAACTGTACACTTGAAACCTATATGACCCTATTAACCAATGTCACCCCAGTAAATTATTTAATAAATTTAAAAAATAATTTTTAATAATTTGTATTTATACATTATATGTACTTTCATAATAATGTTATAAGGAAACTATAGATTCTTGGTACATATTAGAGTAAATAAAACCTGAGATTTGAATGCTGTTGGTCTTATTGGCATTTCATAAAAACATGTATGCCAAAAGCTTAATATGTATAAGTTTCTTTCTTTCTTTTTTAAAATATATCTTTATTGATTTCAGAGAGGAAGGGAGAGGGAAAGAGAGATGGAAACATCAATGATGAGAGAGAATCATTGATTGGCTGCCTCCTGCACACCCCCTACTGGGGATCGAGTCCACAACCCAAGCATGTGCCCTAACCAGAAATCGAACCCGGGACCTCCCGGTTCATAGGTGGATGCTCAACCACTGAGCCACGCCAGCCGGGTGTAAAAGTTTCTTTATTGATAAAGAGGGAAGAAAAATTATTGCTCATATTAACTGTATATTGTTGGTAAATTAGGAGATAAATATTTATTACCATCTAGATTAACAGAAGAACATGGGTGTGGTTGTGTCCAAATTGAGCATTATATTAAACTATTTGTGTAATTAAATGGACTGTTTGAAAACTATTTCTTTATTTTTTTTTGTTTCACCAGAGTATCTAGAAACAAATCTGAAAAGAAACGTAGAGATCAATTTAATGTTCTCATTAAAGAATTGGGATCCATGCTTCCTGGTAATGCTAGAAAGATGGACAAATCTACTGTTCTGCAGAAGAGCATTGATTTTTTAAGAAAACATAAAGGTAAATTTTTAACTTTGTAAAATAGGTGTGGTATTTTTAATAACAGACTCTCTCGTAAAGCATAATGTGATAGAATCTTGGCAGTGATGCTTAAGAGTGGATGCTTCCTAACCTTTTTTAAGAGAAAGAAATCAAATCCTTTTTAAAAGATTTCCTGGTATGTTTTTTCTTTCATTCAACAAACATTTATTTAGTGCCCAGTATATCCTACATTTTTATAGTGCAGGGTAACAGTCCTGACCCTCAAGTAACTCAAGCCAAGAGAGGCAAACATCTAAACAGCTAATTTCAGTGCATATAATTATAACAGGTTGAGTGCTTGTAAACTTAAACTTGTTAGCAAAACACAGGCAAGAATGTGTCAGGGAAGGCTTAAAAATAGTTGATCTTTTCAACTGAGTCTTCCTTTTAGATTAAGTAAGGAAAACATCTTTTCACAGAGAGGAAATAACATGTGCAAAAGCAGAGAAGCAGGGCGAGTTCAGTGTAACTGGAGCATAGTTTGAGTTTGAAAATTATGGGCATATTTGAAAGAAAGGCAAGAGCCAGATTGTAAGGGCCTTTTATATCATTTTAAAAGATTGTTTCAGTGTATATCTAGGAAAAAACATTATGTTTAAATTAAAGTTATTATTTCTTAAAGAAAATCATTTTGACTACATAAATCATGAAAAGAAAATTTAAAGAATATTAACTATTTTAGTAGCAGAGATAATACGTGAAAAAGTTGTAAAAGGACATTTCCTTTTTCAGATGTAAATTAAACTGCAAAACTCAGAAGGAGAATTTGTAATTAGTGCCTCTTTTTACTTCTCCCTAGCTCACTCAGTAATGCATTAGTAACCTGCTTCATGCTCCACCGCTCTGAAATCATTTTTGTTAATTTCACTAATGCCATTAACCCCTCCTCTGCCACCAATAAAGCAATAGCTTTTTCTTAAATCTCATTCTCTTCTGCACGTCTGAAGCACTGGAAATTTTAATCCATCCTCCACTGGCTTTTCCCTTGGCCTGTGTTATACTGTACCTCTTCATTCACCTCCCTCTTCCTGACTAACCCTAACTTCTTCGTTCTCTTTCTTTTTCTGCTCTTTAAATGTGACATTTCTGAGGGTCTTATTTTTTGTGTTGCTGTTGTTTTCTCTACACTCTTTCCCTTGGTTATCTCATTCCATAGCTTCAACTGTTGTTTCTCTATTAAACTACTAAGTCTGTATTTTAGATGCTAACTTTTCAGTCTTTTATTTCCAGATAACTTCTGGATCTTTCTTTTGCATGTTGTCAAACTCAGCACATCTAAAACAATTCATAAAAAATAAATAAATTAATTAATTAAAAAAATAAAACAATTCATTTTCATTTTGTCCAATCATCTCTTTCTCTCAACTTTTCTTTTTCTATTTTTACACCACCATCCTTTCACTCCCCCAGGACTCAAACCTGAAAAGACTTTCATTTTTTCAGCTTTCATAGTACTGTATTACAGTTGCCAAATTCTCTTGATTCTTCTGCAAATGTGTCAAAATTGTCTTCATTCTTATTACCACTTTTGTCATTACATTTTTCCTTTACAAATAGTATTCTTGCTACCTCAGTGTAGTGTCTCTTATTAAATAGCACACTGAGCCCCTCAGGCATTGTAGTTCAATAAATGATTGTTGAATGAAATGAAATAATACGCATGCACACATTTCCCTCTGATAGTAGAGGATTAATTTTGGCATTAAGTAGATCAGGTTTTGTTTTGTTTTTTCAAAATTGGGTATAAGATTCTCACAAAAATAAAATTTACCTGAAATTGGAAGAGAGTTCTCATTTAATTATTAGTCTAAAGTTGTGCTTAACTAAACCTAAGGGATTTGCTTATGCATTTAACTCTTTTTTTCGGAATGTTTATAATTGATGTGAATTTGAAAAAGTATGACTATATTCCATAGATTAGTAGCTAGACTTTTTAGTTACTCTTCATATTCTAGTGCAGGCATTTTTAATATAGCAGATTTTTGGTGACAATTTAATATATTTACACAAGGTGTCCCAAAAAAATGTATACACACTTGTAACAGCTGATAGCTCTATTTTGAAAACGAAATGTATTTTAATAAGCACTGCCTTTGTAATTATTCAAACTGTATGTATACATTTTTTGGAACAGCCTATATATCTGGTCACAGAAAAATCTAAACAACTTAGTCCATACTTTTCAATTCAAAGTAGAATATATTTTGAAGAGTAAAATTTGTGACATAGATTTTTATTTTGCCTGATTTTTAAAACTATGTCTGCATTTAAAGATGGAAAAACATTTGTTAGCTAAATAGTTCATGTTTCATCATTTATGAATAGCTTTCTCATAACTAAATCCATTAGCAAGTAGTATATTGCAAAATAAACTAATAATTTTGTTAAAATATTGTCACAATCCAAGGACCTCAAAATTTTTTGACCAGCTCCCTACCTCTAAGAAAAATGCAAGGGGACACTAAGCAAAATCACTGTGGGGTTATTACTATAAAATTTTTGCCCCAAATCTTAATTTAGTCTCATTGATTAATTAAGAACAGAGCACCTCAGATTGGGAGCAATCTTTCTACGTGGCAGTAGAAAGGCTGAAAGTCCTCTTTGTTAAAAGCAGGCTTACTGACCTCCTGGGCTGTTTTCCTACAGGCTCATGTCCGTATATCTGCTCTAGGTTCTACCACTTGAATGGCAAGGAAAGGAAGAGGAAAAAGAATATCTTCCTAATGGTTGATCTATCTTCTTATTCTGAATTTTGTTCGGTCATTGTGTCAAGCAGGAAGCAACACAGGCTATCACAGCTCCCCAGAGAAAATCTAAAGAAACTGGTATTTCCAAGAGACCAAAGACCAAATCCTAAGGAAATAATTTGCCATAGTTGCTCAAATATTTCATCATACCAAAACTTTGACCTCCTGATACCTATCTAGACCAATGTTATAGTCTATGGTTCTCATCTTTAATTAGAGTGGGGAAAGAGAAGGCAGTCGTAGGACTTTTGTACTGCCCCAGTCGCCCACCCTGTAGTAAGAGTATGCCACTAATGTGTCAAATAATCTGTTTACAGAAATCACTGCACAGTCAGATGCTAGTGAAATTCGACAGGACTGGAAACCTACATTCCTTAGTAATGAAGAGTTTACACAATTAATGTTAGAGGTATGTCCAGATTTAATTTTTGAAAAGTTTTATTTTCCTCAAAAAAAAACACACAACATAAATCATAGGGGTGACTAATTTTAGTATAATTTTAACAATATTAATTTAATGTTGAAAATACTTAATTCTGTGTAAATCAATAAACTGTTATCTTCAATTAAAATTAATCAGTGCAAGTATTGTAAGCAAATAGTATTCTCTGGTAAAGGAATGACAAAATTTTCATATTTTCAGTATTAAATGAATTTTTTTTTTTGAGTTCCATCCATGCTGTTGTAAATGGTAAGAATTCCTTCTTTTTTTTTACTGCAGTGTAGTATTCCATTGTGTAGATGTACCACAGTTTTTTTTTTTTTTTTTAATTAAATCTTTTTTGTTCAGGTTACATTTGTTCCTCTTTTTTTCCCCCTCATAACTCCCCTCCTCCCAGTTCCCACCCCACCCTCTGTCCTCATCCATAGGTGCACGATTTTTGTCCAGTCTCTTCCTGCATCTCCCATTTCCCTTTCCCCCCCAAGAATAGTCAGTCCATTCCCTTTCTATGTCCCTGATTCATTATAATCACCAGTTCATTCTGTACATCAGATTATTTATTCACTTGGTTCTTAGATTCACTTGTTGATAGATGCATGTTTGTTGTTCACAATTTGTATCTTTACCTTTTTCTTCTTCCTCTTCTTAAAGGATACCTTTCAGCATTTCGTATAATACTGGTTTAGTGGTGATGAACTCCTTTAGCTTTTCCTTATCTGTGAAGCTCTTTATCTGACCTTCAATTCTGAATGATAGCTTTGCTGGATAAAGTATTCTTGGTTGTAGGTTCTTGGTATTCATCACTTTGAATATTTCTTGCCATTCCCTTCTGGCCTGCCAAGTTTCTGTTGAGAAATCAGCTGACAGTCGTATGGGTATTCCCTTGTAGGTAATTGAGTCTCTTTCTCTTGCTGCTTTTAAGATTCTCTCTTTGTCTTTTGCTCTTGGCATTTTAATTATGATGTGTCTTGGTGTGGTCCTCTTTGGATTCCTTTTGTTTGGGGTTCTCTGCGCTTCTTGGACCTGTAAGTCCATTTCTTTCACCAGGTGGGGGAAGTTTTCTGCCATTATTTCTTCAAATAGGTTTTCAATATCTTGCTGTCTCTCATCTTCTGGCACCCCAATTATTCTGATGTTTGTACGCTTGAAGCTGTCCCAGAGGCTCCTTACACTATCTTCGTATTTTCGGATTCTTTTTTCATTTTGCTTTTCCGGTTGGGTGTTTTTTGCTTCTTCGCATTTCAAATCTTTGGCTTGATTCTTGCGCTCCTCTGGTCTGCTATTGGGTGTCTGTATAATATTCTTTATTTCAGTCCGTGTATGCTTAATTTCTAGTTGGTTCTTTATCATAGCATCGAGGGTCTCATTAGTTTTCGTGACTCTCTCCTCAAGTTTATTGACAGCTTCTAGCACATTTTTGCAAGCCCTCAAAATTGCGATTTTTAGCTCTATATCCTCCATTTCTGTCATGTTTTTTTGTCTCCGCATTTTTTATGCTTTCTTGGTGCACCCCCTAGTGGTCTTTGTGCGCAGTCTTGTTCTAGTTGAGCCTTGATTGTTGTAGTTAATACTAGAGGGATTTGACCACCAGGCCGACTGGCTGTGTGAATCAGCTGTGTCTGCCGCGGAAAACTTCTGTCCTCTGGGGAGGTGCTAATCTAGCCTTTGCCTGAGGCGATCCGGCAAATGGCTCTGCGCAGGGCTTGGGCGGGGCGGGCTCAACAGGGCGGGCGGAGGGAGCCGTTATGGTGCCCTCAGTCCTGTTCCCAGAGGCTCTGCTTCTCAGAACCCCCGGAACCGCTGCAAACCTCGGAGGGAAAGCTGCCTTCCAACTGATGCCAGACACTCCCGCTTCTCCCGTTTGGGTCCGAGTCCCCAGCGATTCGCCCGTATCTGGAGCTCAGAGTCTGAGACTCCCCCCTGACCGAAAACGACAACCGCGCTCTCAGCCACCAGCCCGCTTTGCGCGCGCACCTCCGCACCTGAGTTTTTTCCACACTGCGCCTCCTCTGAGCCTCGGTGTGCTGTTATTTTTCCTTCTAGTTGAAGAGTCTCTCCTCAGCCAGCCTTCCTGTGGTTCTGGGTGATGTCCGTTCCGTCTTTTAGTTGTATTTTTGAAGGGGTTGTTTGCGGCAGCAGTCTCCGGTGTTTACCTATGCCGCCATCTTGGTCTCTCCATTAAATGAATTTTTGAGTGGATTAATAAAAGTCAGAAAACTATAGCTACCAAATTCTCTACCTGAGATGACACTAGCAACATTCAAATGAAGAATAATATATTTTATTCATCATATATTAAATATAATGAAATGTATCCTACTTGACAGTAGTTTTTTTTAACAAATTAAAATCTACCCCAAAATAACATAAAATTATAATAAATGAGTATTTTGAAAATGTAAAACAAATGAAATGTACTTCTTAATTCAAGTAGAAACTTTTTTATGTGTGTAGAATAACGTAGGTATCATCTATGGACACAAAGTACACAGAATTCAGTATCAAATTTCCATGAAAACTTACCATAAATAGGAAACAGAGGCAGTATAGGTTGGCAGTACATTAAGGACAAGAAAAGTAGATACATAACAGAAAGTAACCTAGAAAGATTAGAGGAAAGTGATTGAGATGGAGACGTAGGCATTGTTAAATAATTACATCTCTTATCCTGCTGGTTTGGATTTATTCTTTTACACTTTAAGTGTTTATCTGTGTTGGGTATGTACTGGGTGGGGCAAAGGTAGGTTTACAGTTGTGAGTATGGGAAACATAATTTATTCTTGAATTGTCATTTATTATTAATTATTGTATTTTTTATATGAATAACTGTAAACCTACTTTTGCCCCACCCTGTTTATGTAATGGCTATGTATTGTGTCTTTGTATAGTGACTAAAATCTAAGCAACATAAAGTATTTGCAAGTTAATGAGGAACAGTTAATTGCTAGATTAAGTCTTTGTATATTCAAGAGAAATGTTAACATGGAAATTTGTTGGAATATAAATATATTGTATATATTTAAACCTGTACTTAAAAACCTGAAATAAAACTGATCACTTTTCACATATTAACTCAGTGAATCCTCACAATACTCTTATGATGTAGACACTATTAGTATCCCTTTCATACTGCCATATGAGGCAGTCGAGGAACAAAGAGATTATGAAACTTGCCCAAAAGTAAGTAGCTCAGCTGGGATTTTTTGCAAGTAGACTGGCCTCTGCTCCCATGGCCTCAGCCCCTGTGAAACTAATTTCAGTGGAAGCTAACCATGGCGCCGAACTTGCAGCTTAGTAACCAACAGCTAGCTCTTTAAATTAGTGGACACTTGAGTTATAAACCAGAAAATATTTTCTGATTTTGTTAAATATTTTTTCTAAAAAGTAGTTAGACATTGTCCAAGATTATCTCTTTAGGTAATAAATATTATTTTTATGAAAGGGTGCACACAGCTAACATCTACAACATAGAAAGGAAATAAATAACTCATTTAATTACACTAATTTTAATTTAAAATTTTTTTTTTAATTTTCTTTATTGATTAAGGTATTACATATGTGTCCTTATCCCCCTATTGCCTTTTTATTTTGATGTAGTCCCATTTGTTTATTTTCTCTTTAGTTTCCATTGCCCTAGGAACTTATCATAAGATCTTAAGAGGAATCCACAGGCAGCAAAATCTAATTTTAATTTTATGATTATATTCTCTGTGCAATCCAATATAATAAAAGCCCAGTGACCAAAAGGTGGAACGACCAGAACAACCAGTAGACCAGTCGCTATGACGTGCACTGACCACCAGGGGGCAGAAGCTTAACGCAGGAGCTGCCCCCTGGAGGTAGGTGCGCTCCCACAGTGGGAGCGCTGCTCTGCTGACCAGGATTAGCGGCACTCCCACAGCGGGCCAATCCCCACAGGCCATGCCCCCCCACTAGTGCACGAATCTGTGCACCGGGCCTCTAGTTTTTAATAAAATTTGGTAATCATTAACTATTTTCCTTGCTTCATTGGTATGAAAAATTTCTTAAAATTAATAAAGTTAATTTTAAGCCCTAGCCTATTTGGCTCAGTCAAATAGAGCATCTAACCTGTGGACCAAGGGGTCCTGGGTTCAATTCTAGTCAAGGGCACATACCTTAGTTGCAGGTTCCTCACCTGGTCCGTGCCCTGGTCAGGTCACTTACAGGAGGCAACCAATCGATGTGTTTCACGTTGATGTTTCTCTCAGATTTTCCCTCTCTCTTCCACTTTTCCTAAAAAAATCAATGGAAAAATGTCCTCGGGTGAGACTTAACAACACCACCAAAAAAGTTGTGTAATATCTGCATTCATGTATCAATAATCTTAATGAAGATAAACTATCTGTTCACTAATAAGCTAAACACAAAAGCTTTGTCTTCAGATTTTTCTTCACAATGGATAGATCTTTATTAATGTCAGGACACAGTAGTATTAAAAAAAATCAAAGATTTCAGAGATTATAAAATTATATACAACAGAAAACTTAATCATATATAAATTAGTTGACTCATGATGATCCTCACAGCTTTTAGGATTACATTCCTGAAAAATGTTATATTTACTTATTTTTAATATGTCAAACATATTTTTTATTTTAGTGAGTATTTACAACTGTCAAGTAAATATGTATTCTAACATTAATATACTATAAATATGTGTGTGTATTGCAACCTGGGTCTAACTAACCTAGATGTGTTCCTACTGCCTAGTCACTTTGATCAGATTACAGGTAGGCAGTCCAGATACCATTTTCTGCAGAATTTCAGATGTAGGTTATATCTGGGAATGTTAGAGCTGCTAGTGGAAGAGATTCGATCATTCACCTCAACTTCTTCATTTTGTGGATGAGATCCAGAGAAGTTGCAGCTTGTCCAAGGTCAGATAGCTAATTAATGGAAGAACTAGGACTGAGATATTAAAATTCACTTATAACCTATGTGTTGGCTGTTTCTCTCTCCATTCCTCCATTGCCATTCGTCTCTTTACTCTGTTGTGGAATATTCCTTGCAACCTTGAGGTAGAGAGTAGTCAAGGAAATCAGGGCAATTTAGTCTGACCTCTATGCAAAGTCATCTTTAGGTGAAGTTATCTCTTAGTGTGTTGTTCTTTCCCTTGGAAGCTGACAGCTCTCTCTGGTAGTCTACAAGGCAAGGGCTAGTGAGTGCCCTGTCAACTTCACTTTAGATACAAATCCGCAAGGAAGTTCTATCCCCTCCCCTAGAACTTCCATTCCAGTCTTCCCCTGATTAAACACTCACTAACAAAGAAGGTTTACATAGTCCTTTTATTGTGGCTCAATTAGGTATCAAATAGGAAGACAAGGAGTTTTAACTAATGAGCCTTCCCCTTATATCATACAGTGTGGAAGAGGGATAAGTTTCACAGTCTTCACTTTTGGGAGGGGGATGTCCATATCTCTCTGATTTTCATCTTCAGGGCCCCTTTAGCTTTTGGTGTACCCAGCTACCTGCTTGGGAAATTACATCCATCACTCAAAAGAAGACTGGGCCTTGGTCTTGTATTAAGAATTTGGCAAGATGCTAGTGGAGGCTTTTCTCTGCTTAACCTTTGCCTGCTTTGAAAAATGAAGGGACAGCCTATGGTCCTAGGAGTGGGATAATGTCATGAAGAGTTCTGATTTCAGTTCATTTCCCTTAACACAATAGAATTGCACCCCAATTCGTAACAAATATCCTAATAGCAAATACAGATCATCATAGTAAATATTAATTTGCTTTCAAAGATGATATAATCTAGCTTCATATGAGAAAAGCTAGTTCTTAATAACATCATTTTGACCTTTTCCTTATGAAATAATAATACTGGCATTATACTAAGGAATTTTTGTAAAAATAATTTCATGAATTTGCATAAATTATAAGGTTTTTATCCCTTCAATATTAGCTGAGAATGGGTTTCTTTTAGCCATTTTAGAAGGTAGTCATCTACTCAAAATAAGTTCTTTTTAATATCCAAATCTCTCCCCCAATAGAAGTGATGGTGGGATGCCTTTTTTCATGCATTCAATGTATACTTCAATAGTTACTTAGAAATAGAGGGAGGTTACTCTAACTCCACGCTCGGAAATTAAATACAAGTATTTTTTGTCTGCTGTGTGCTACACATATGCTAGGTCCTTCAGATACAGTGCTGTAGAAGATATGTATGGCTCTTAACAGAGATTGCTATCCTTTGAGAGATCCTATAATTAAATAAGAAATCCAAATTGAGTGTGATAACTCTTTTGATAGAAGAGGAACTCCTCTTCGTATCTTTTCTGCTATATATCTTCAATATCTTTTACACTGGATTTTCCTTTCCCTCAGCCTGCAAATACACTTGTAACTTTTTTTAAAATTGCCTTCCCTTGATACTTGCTTCTCTTTAAACTTTCATCTCTCTTTTCTTCCATTCTAAAGTTCTTGGTAGAGTGGTTTATAAGTGCCTCTGATCATCCACTCGTCTCTAAATTCATTAGTCTGACCGATCTTCCTATTGGCATCTGTTCTGAAAGTCACCAAATTTATTTCTCATTTTGTATCCTGTTTGATCTTATTTTACACTGAACCATCCATCTTCCTTCTCACCTTGTCACATTCTCTTCTATTGATTTCCTCATCAACAGTTGTATTCTGTCTTTCATTTTCTCTGGTACTTGTCGTTCGCATCCCCACATGTAGATAATTCCCCAAGGATTTGTCTGGAATGCAGATCTGCAGATCTCATATCTTTAGCGGTTACTTCTGTACCTAAGATTCTCAAATGAAAATACTTTATCAAATGTAAAATACAGGATCGCTTTATTAATAGGTATTGTATCTCTGCATGGCTTCTCTCCTGAACTCTAACTTCACATTTCTCGATGTCTAAGTTCTTTCTTCTCTATTCTTACTGCACTTAATTTCATTCAGATTCTCATTAACTTCACTGTCTATTCTAAAGTCATTGAGATTTTCCTATCTTAATTTTTCCCCCCTCTAAATCTATTTACACACCGCTTCCAGACTACTCTTGAACATAAGATATAAGTCCTTATGTCTTAAACTGGCATTTCATGGCCTTTCATGATCTATCCTTAGCCTACCTTTTCAGATTTATTTCCCTTTCACTCAATTCCTCATGTATCTCCCTACAGTTCATACACCTCTCGGTTGATATATACAAAAGGTGATAATGTATTCCTTTGTGTGCCAAAGACATTATTAATGGTGTGTGTACTTCAGAGATATTAGCATCTTCAAATAAGGCCATCTGTACATAATATATGAATGATAAGGTAGAACATTAAATCTATAGTTTAGAAACCAACTGTCCAATAGCCAAAGAGTGATTTTTTTTCTCCAAAAGCATTTAAAAAATGCACAAAGATATATACTATACTGCAGTATTGTGAAGGGGGAAAGCTAGCATTTTGATAATGCTCTGGAAATTTCCACCTTATGTCTTTTGTCATTTAGTAAGTTAGACTTTTATTTTTGTGCTAGAAAACGCTTTTTTCTTTTCATTTAACTGACTATTATGTTTAATTTCAGGCTCTTGATGGTTTTTTTTTAGCAATCATGACAGATGGAAGCATAATATATGTGTCTGAGAGTGTAACTTCATTACTTGAACATTTACCAGTAAGTATAAAAATCCTGTGATCTCTTTCTTATTTAATGCCTATTTTAAACATTCTAAAATACTTGAAAATGTACCTCCAGAGCAATGTTAAGCAATAAGTAGAGTGTGGAGGAGAACTCAAAATACATCTTTGTTTTAACATGGCTGTTTTTTCTTAGTTCAGTCATGCCTCTGTAATCTGTAGTAACTATTCAGTGACCACTTTATCCAATCTCTGTTCTTGCTGTCCTATTTTTTCTAATGCTAAGTTTTCAGTGTTTCCTTTTTATTCAGCCTGGTGAAGACGTTGCTGAATCACTGAGAATATCTTGGGAATAATTAAATTTCTACTGAGATATTCCTGTTACAGCTAGAGGAACACAAATAATTTTCTCAAAAGAATCACTTAAAAGTACACACTAAAAATAATAGATATAGGACTTTTGTGCTCTATGGCTTGGCTTGATAATGCCCAAGTGGCCATGTTCAATGTGTTATCAATATGATCTTAAGGGTACAGAATTAGAAAATAATTACATTGTATGATTTTGATAAAGATGGTGAACACCAAAATTAATGTGTTTGTTGTTTTATTCCAAGTATAATTATTGAATATCAACTCTCTACCAGACATGATGTTAGATGCTCTGCTGCAGCTGACAGTTTTAATGAATTTGAAATTTTTATTTAATATGTAATGTTCTTATCTAAGATAGGGCTTGTGGTATAAATATTCTGAAGTTACTTATAAATTACTCTTAATTTATTATAAATACAAAGTACCTGTTTTATAAAGGTCTCTTTTAAGAGATACTGATAAGCAGTATCTTCCTCCCTCTGATTACTCTGCCACCTCATCCTATCTAATAAAAGAGTAATATGCAAATTGACCATCACTCCAACACACAAGATGGCCGCCACAGGATGGCTGTC